AAAAAAAAAAAAAAAAAAAAAAAAGACCTCATCCCTTTGAGGGCAGGTGCTGCATCTCATTTGTCTCTGTGTTCTGCCACACAGTAGCTATGAGTAGATGAGCAAAGCCCCCCTACGAGGAAGGAAACCGAGGCTCCCATTGGTGGGTTGTGTGTCTTGTTCAAGACCACACAGCATGTGAGGAGCTGGGTCGGGCGGCCTCCTGACTCTTAGCCTGGGGGTTCAGCCCACTGCAGGCGCTGCCTCTGCTAAACTCTTCCACCTCCACCTCGGCAGTTGCACCTCGCAGCTGGGGGGCACACAGGTCTTTCCTTCGGTGCTCAGAAGGAAGGTGCAAAAGCAATGGGGACAGGATGCCCAGGCCATGCTGGCGACCACACTGGGCCTGTGTAGTGGGGTTCCTGTGTCTTCTCCGCCACTCCTGGCGTGGACATTTGGCACATGGCCATGTGGGCAGCTGAGGCACTGCGGGGACCCTTCCGGCTGAGAACCGGGCAGCTGGGGCAAGCAAGTTACACTGTATAAACAGCACGTTCCTCGACTTCCTGGCCTCAGGGCAGAAAAACAGTGCCAGGTGGTACCCAGCACCAGCTGCAGATCTCAGCATGGCCACGCAGCTCCGCCCACCCTCATGCCAGCTCCCCTGGGACCTGATGGGCAGTGGGTACCAGCAGGAGACTAGGTTCTCTTGCCCTCCCCTCTGGGCCTCTGCATGGGCGGTCCCTCTGCCTGGGACACTCAGTGGGTCTGGCGAACGCTCCTCCAGCTCCTCTTCCCCACCCCTGGCTTCCAGGGTCTGCTGCTTTTGGCCAGAACACTTAGTAATGAGGCTGGGGCTGGCTCCCAGGGGTGTCCTCTGCTGGCCTGGATGCACATCTAGAGCAAAGCCCATCTGCCTCAAGCACCTGTCGGCTGGAGGAGCAGGGGAAGAACAGAGGGCGGGGCTCTAGTGTCCTTCCTGGAAGGAGGAACAGAGGGGCAGAACTCGGCTGGCTGGAAGGTGGAGAAGCTGGGAGCAGGCACATCGGGGTGCCCTGGCACACACGTGCACCCTCCCCAACAGAGGGGCAGGGGCGAGGTCGAGCCATGCATTCCCAGGAATGGAGAGGAGGAAGATCAGCAGTGGCCACTGCGGATTCCTCTGTGACTCCTGAAGCCCAGGACAAGGCTGGACAGATGCACTGGAAAGAAGGAACCTCCAGCAACCCACTCCAGACTCTCGGGGCCCAAGCAGCCACCAGGGGGCAGCCTTTGGCAGAGGTTGACCGGCAGAGGGGACACCAGGCTTCCCTGGGTCACACCAGTTACAGAGAGCGGCACATATCTGACTCCCGTTATACCTCCCCTGGGATGTCACCAGGGCATGGTCAGAGCTCCAGCGAGCCCATCCTGAGTCCAGTGGTCAGTTCCGCCGCCACCTGGGAGCCTCCAGGCCTTGGACACGTCACTTAACCTCCTGGCTCAGAAATAAGGGAGGAGCGCTTATTGCAACCAGGTTCGACGCTCGTAGTGCCAGAGAGACTGGAAATACCCTCTCCGTGTGAGCTGTTATTGTCATGACCTAGAGTCTCCAGTAAATGCTGTGATAGGGAAGCAGTCTGTCGTAGGCAAGAACCTACACTGGAGTTACTCACTAGCTGCATGGCCTTCAGCAGTAACTTGACCTCTCTGAGCCTCAGTTTTTCCATCTGTGAACTGGGGATAACAACCACCCCTCCTTTGTAGGAGGGGTCCAAGGATTTGCTGAAGTGGCTGAAAAAAGCCCCCAGACCAGCACGCTGTCCGAAGCCCGATGGCTGACCCAACCTCTGCACAGCCAGAGTTCACATTACCTGCAGCTCGGCCGCCGTCACTTTGTGGTAGATGAGCTCCTCATCACGGCGCTTCTCCTGGGGGATGGTGATGTTGGCCAGCGCTGTCTCAAAGTCCAAGATCTGCTGCATCTGGGGCCGGATGGCATCCTCATCTCCCCCGCCCAGCAGCTTCCCCAGCTGGACCATGTAGTTTAGGTATCCGGTCAGCACCTATGGGTCCCGCCCACAAACTGTCACTGCCAGACCCCCTTCACCCCCGCTGCCCACTGGACGAGGGTAGGGGGGCAGGGCCAGTGAGTCCTGCAAGGGAGCCGGGGTGGTGTGCTGCCCTCAGGACACCCACGGGGAACGACATTGAGAATGACGCTGGCACCACACTTCTCCATGCGCCCACAGTCCTCAGGAGGAAGCCCGCAGCCTTTTGACAGCTGGTCCTCGTGCGGCTGGGCCCTGCCGTCTTAACCCTGTCCCCCGTTCTTGGAATGCACCTTTTCTGACTGCCCATCACCCTCCTGTTCCCACATCTGAAGTGGGTCCCCAGGGTAGACTTTCTCCACTCACCACCCCATCACGATGTAGGGTCATGCATCCAGTTGGGCAGTGCATTAGGAATTGCTGGCCTCCCCACAAGCCCGTGAGCCCCATGGGACGGGGACCCTGGCGGCTTGTTCACCACCATCTCCCCGACATCAGGCACGCCGTGGACGCTTGCTCAATACAAGCAGGGGGAAGGACGATGGACAGCGAGGGGGCCTCAGGCGAAGTCTGCCTGGGAATGGGCTGGGGGGAAGGAGGTGTGAGCTTCGGGCACGTGGATCTGGATGTGAATCTCAGCCTCACTGGCTGTGTGACTTTGAGCAGGCCACTTAGCGTCTCTAAAACTTATTCCCTCCGCTGTAAAAGGTCAGGTCAAATGAATGGCCATCTGACAGACGAGCCCAACAAAGTTCAGGGATTATTAGGAGGTATGTGCAGGGTTATTAGGAGGGTCAGAGGGGATGCATAAAAGGCCCGGCACCCACAAACGGTGGTGGCTGTTATCGTGCCTCCCTCTAGAAGAGGGACAGATGATACCGGTCCCCTGCCCCTTGTGCTCACGAAGCCTGAACAGGACAGTCAGCCTAGGAATGTCCCTCCCTGCCAGGGACAGCCTGTCACTCATCAGGTAAGTGATGTCTCTGGACTCCTCTAGCTTCAAAGAGCTGCCCAGGCAGGGTGGGAGCGGACACGCTGGGGCATCCCGGGAGGGGGGCTAGGACGGAAGCCGCTCTCTCTGGGGAGGCACACTCACCTTCTCATTTTCAGTTTTGTTCAGGTAATAGTCTCTCGAGGGCAAGCCCAGCCCAGACTGGTCCACCTGGAGAAAGAGGGCGGTGTGACAGGGAACCCCACGCACGTGCACCTGCCCGCCACATGGCCTCCTGCCGAGGACGGATGGCACATTCCAGCAAAGGTCCCAGCAGGAGCATGAGTTGGCAGGTGGAATCACTGATGGGCTCGCCCGGGGACAGGATGACACATTCCTGCCCATACACGTGCTCAGCCACAGGGCTCCTGGGCCCTCGGAAGGGCTGGGCGTGGCCACCCTCCTCTGCCATCATCTCCCTGCCTCTATTTCCCCAAACACTTCCTCAGTGGCTGGGAGCCACTCACAAGCTGTGTGACCTTGGTCAAGTTACTTGCTTAACCTTTCTTTTTTAAAAAATAGGGACCACTGCAACAGGGTCTTGCAGAAGGGAAGAGATTCCGTGCTTAACCTCTCTGATCCTCAGGCTCAGGAAAATAAGGGAAATAATACCTCACCTTCATAGCTAGAATGAGGATTTAAGAAGAGCGCTCCAGCAAAGGGCTTGCCAGGCAGGAGAGGGTCAATTCCTGATAGGTACAATTGGAGCCTTACGGACTCACCTTGACATACCTAGGATAGGTGCTATTATAATTCATTTGATTGATAAGAAAACTGCAGCTCAGAGAGGTTGAGACGCTTGCCCAAGGTCACACAGTGAGTGAAGGGCAGAGATGGGCTGGGAACTCAGCCTTCATGACCCCACCAGTCTTAGTTTCATCTGAGGTTGGCACAGATCAGTGTTGGGGCAACCGCTACATGCTGATCCTCAGACTAGGGCAAGCTCTGACAGGAGAGATTGACTCATTCCAAGCAGAGCCACAGAGGACAGAAACTGAGGCCATGGGAACCAGGAGGTGGCTTCAGCTGTGCCCAGGAGTTGACACCACTCTTCTGATTGGCCCACAGTGACCAATCAGAAGGCTCATCTGTGGTGCTGGACCCACCTTCCCCAGTTTCTGCCCTTCCTGGTCTCTTGCCTAGAGGGATCTTGCCAGCGGGGGCCTCCAGAAATAACCTGGGCTCAGAACCAGAAGCCTGCTGCCTCCCCCAGGCAAGTCTCCCCGAACGCCAGCACTCGTTAAACTCAAAACAAGAAGCCATGCTCCTTCTTCTCCTGGGATTTCCAGCCAGTTCACCTGGATCACGTTGCTGTTGGAGTTCTTGGAGTCAGCACTGACGTAGACGGAAAAGAAGGGTGAGGTGCGGAAATGGGCGGTGACCACCTGCAGGGTGTCCTGGAAGTTGTCCTTGGCCCAGGGACCCGTGATGTTCCAGCCTCCGAGCTGTGGAGAAAGAGAGTGGGCAGGCAGGTGATGAGGTGGCTGGGAGACCCAGATGCCAATTGTGGGTCTTCAGCTGACTTGCTCTGTGACCTTGAAGTAGTCATTTGACCTCTCTGAGCTTTAAGAGCAAATTGGGAGGCTAGGCATGGTGACTCACACCTGTAATTCCAGTACTTGGAAGGCTGAGGTGGGAGGATCGCTTGAGCCCAGGAGTTTGAGACCAGCCTGGGCAATATAGCGAGACCCTGTCTCTATGAAAAAAAAAAAAAAGAGCAACCTGGTTGGTCTTCACCGGTCACTTCTGACCCATCAGTCAGAGACCCACAAATGGAGCAAAGACTTATCCTAGACAAGCAAGACATGAATCCATGTGCGGCTGCTCCCTGGGTGACTGGAATGGGGACAGAAAGGTTTTTCCCAGTACACTACTTACTTTTTGGATATCAAATCATGTGAATGTGATTACTATCAAAACATAAATTCAATTGTGCCTATGGGGAAAAGGCTCCATAAGTTTAATGTGGTTGATAAACTATGGTTGACTTTAGTCTCTTTCAAAGTTGGAATTCTCAATGTTTAAGCTTTAAATGCTAAAGTCTTTTGAGATGGGGTCTTGTTGTGGTGCCCAGACTAGAGTGCAGTGGCATGATCAAAGTTCGCTGTAGCCTCAAATTCCTATGCTCAAGTGGTACTCCTGCCTCAGCCTCCCAAGTAGCTAGGACCTCAGTACAACCTGCCATGCATGGCTAATTTAAATTTTTTTGTTTTCTGAGTCAGAGTCTCACTCTGTCGCCCAGGCTGGAGTGCAGTGGCGTGATCACAGCCACCACAGCCTTGACTTCCTGGGCTCAGGTGATTCTTCTACCTCAGATTTTCAAGTAACTGGAACTACAGGTGTGCACTATCCTACCCGGCTATTTTTTTGATTTATTGTAGAGACAAGGTCTTGCCAAGTTGCCTAGGCTGGTCTCAAACCCCTGGGCTCAGGCAATCCTTTCGCCTCTACCTCCCAAAGTGTTAGGATTACAGGCATGAGCCCTCTACACCTGGCCTAACTTTTAAATTTTTTGTAGAGACAGGGTCTTGTTATGTTGTCCAGGCTGATCTCCAGCTCCTGGGCTCAAGGGACCCTCCTGCCTCAGCCTCCTGCCTGGGAGGATTTTTAAAAATCTCCCTGGTTTCCTGGGTTTGGCCTGCACTGGCACATGGGACCTGTCCAGAGAGGGAACAGTACAGTTCCCAGTGCCTGCAGCCATCAACCCTGCTGTAATACCTTCTCGAAGCCAAACTAGGAGACAGGACCCTCAAGGGAGCACAGGGCAGCCAGAAAACACCCATAGCCACCTTCCTGCTGTGCCAAGCAGCCTTGGGCAGACCCCTTGGAGTCTGCTCAAGATCCACAAGGAGGCTGGGCACAGAAGCCGAAGTAGGAGGATTGCTTGAGCTCAGGAGTTCAAGATCAGCCTAGGCAACAAAGTGAGACTCCTCTATTAGAAAAAAAAAAAAGAGGCCAGGCTCAGTGGCTCAGCCTGTAATCCCATGCCTTGGGAGGCCGAGGTGAGTGAATTGCCTGAGCCTGCGGGTTTGAGACCCGCCTGGGC